CTGTCCCTCTCCCCCCCCCTTCAGCCAGCCCAGACCTGTTGTGGTTCAAATCTCATCCGATCACCTATGTCTGGATGAAGCAATATTTAGACAAAAGAATGACATCCTTCTCTTGCAGCGAGAACCCTTGACTGAACCTGTTCTGTATCAGTACGGCCAAGCTGAGCTCTTGCCCTGTATTTCAAAATAATTCAAGCTGCGTATAACGTACTGACTATTTTGTCAGCCCTGCCTGAACTCATTAAAGACGCATCAAGCTCCCAGGAGCCCCGTACTGCAGTGGCTGCTCACTGTGGTTTGAGGTTTTCTTCTTTCAGCAGTGGTACAAGAAGTAAAGAGAGACGCTTCATTCAGAATGTGCAAGTGTGCAGCCCAGAGATGGACTGGAGTACCTACTGTCCCTCTATTTATATGTTTTGGCTGGTGTCAAAAAAAAACAAAAAAAAACAAACAAACCAAAAACCCTGCATTGTTCTTTCCATACCAGTCTCCTGGTCAAGCTGAACCTGTCTCCTTTCATTCTCAAATGCCTTCAGCCAGCGCTGTTTCTGCTCAGGCTTTTTTGCACAGAATAAGTGGACTTCCTCAGTGTCTCGGCAGTGCAGCTTAAATGCATTTTTCACGCTGATGTTGAAGTCCTTGTCCTTCCCATCCTCTACATCCAGTATTTCCATGTCATCCATGTTGATCCGACTTTTGTAATACAAGATGTCCCGGCGCAGAAGATCCTGTAAGAGAGATCACATAGTCATACTGATTTTGCTGTTTCCTATCCTCTTCCCTTCCTTAGAGCTTCCTTTTCTTCTTCGATAGGCTGGAATTTTTAGTCGTCTTAGTGGTCATTACAGTCCTGTAAGAAAAACTGATACAGGATTTGAATCTATGGAATTGTAGAGCTTTTCAACTCCTTTTTGATAGCATCGGCAGTGAGGGGACTTGCATGATTTTTGTCTGCTGCTGGGGTCAGGATAGGCGGCCACGTACAGTCGCATTGAGGATCTCTGTCAATGTGAAGGAACGAGCTTCGTCTTGGACTTGCTCCTAGAGCTTCATTCAGGTCTAGTATCTTGCACCAGAGTAAAAGCAGTGTTGGAAAGTAGAATTTGTATCCAACAATCCACACTAGAAAGCTAAAAAATCCTGGTTGGCTTTTGTTTTTTTCATTTTGCCAATGGAAAGTAAATTTGATAGCAGTGATAAAACAGTTAGGGTTTTGTATCTTAATTTACCTGCAGTCAGAGAGAGAGAGAGAGAGAGAGAGAGAACGCGCGAAGGTCGATATGCCACAGATTATATGCAAAACAAACACTGAAACTCCTGTGGAAGAGACCTGACTCTTGTCCTAATAAGGAGCTTTAAAGAGCTGTGATTCCTCTCGCTGGTTAAATGGGATACCTGCCCTGTAGGTATGGAACTTAGCATAGGCTGTACTTAAAAGACTTCCACCTGTGTGGTTAACATGTTCTTATTGATGCTCTAGGCCCACAGCTCTTACAGTAAAGCTGCAGTTGCCTTCTAAATATGATCATGTTAATGTGACTGTAAAGTGCAATTGAAAAAAATTAGTATTTAAAACAAAATGGTTGAAAATGCTGATGCTTGATTTGTATAAAGTAAACCCATACACCAGGGCTAGAAGCAGCACACTGCTTTCCTCTTCTTGCTACAAGAATTTGGCCACCAGTTAGTTAGTTCCTGTAGCTTATTTATGTGCTTGGGCACACAGAAGAGCACGATGCCAGGGAGAACACTGAAGCGCATGAACATAAAGCTCTGTCTGCCAGGAGCACATACAAATACCAGAAGTAGACAGGTATAGAACAAAAAAAAAAAAAAAACAAAAAACACCTGAACTGAGGGATGTGAGCTGACTTGAGTGCATTAGCCTTGTAATAAACAGAAATTATGCCTCGTTATTCAGCTTACCTTCTTGCAGCAGACAAGCTGGTGATCGAAGAGGAAGAACATCCTCTGTTGGCTCTTGGCTTGAGGATGGGAGACTTTGGCTAATTCCCCAGAATAGATGAGTTCTGAGCTTCTGACTAGGACATCTTCACCCTGAGAGCAGAACAAAGAAGAGGTTGGTCTGTGCCATCCCAGAACAAGGGAGAAGAAGAAATCAGCCTGTAGCCTCATAGGAGAACCTCAGTTTGGCTGTGCAGCCGTCACGTCTGGCCTTCTGCTGGTGAAACGCTCTCCTAGGAATGAGAGGGAGCCTCTGTGATGGAGAACAGTCCTTGTTACATCAGCAGGGACAGTGTGTGTGTGCCCTTGGTACCCAGGGAATGTGAATTTTGCTGGTGAAATAGGGTATCAAATGAAAAAAGCTCTTTTTCCAAAGAGTGTGTTCAGGAAAGCTGATCCTTAAGCTCCATCCCTAACATGAGAGGAGCAACATAAGCAGATAGATGAGAACTTCACCTGACATCCTTGGGGCGGAAGACTGCATTTCTGCAAGAATAACATGCCTTAAGCACTACGGGATAGTTCTGCCCGTCTTGACAGTTGGAAATCACTTAGATAAAACGGAGGACAGGAGGAAAAGGATAGAATTGCACCAGTCTGCATGCCAGTTTCATTCTACAGGGAAACAAAAATCCCAGGAAACGTTCAAGAGGCAGATGGTGGGTTATGTGCTAGACCTTTTAGGTAATGCTAGAAGATCACAGCTGTTTAAACCAAATGAGGAGGAGCAGCACAACTGAGCCAGGGACAGTAATCTACATACAGTAGCTGCTGTAGGCAAAAGTCATCGTGAGGAAGAGAGAGGAACCACAATACATTCAATTCACGGGGAAAGCTGGTCTCTCTTACCTCCCAGTCTTCTATTGAACTCTGCCACTGAGCAATTTTGTCAATGTTCTCCAGCCGCCGCTTTCTCTCGTTGATGAGTCGAGCAACGTTCTTCATAGCATTTAAGGCAGCTTCAACATCTTTAAAATCCCTACGGTACAGTAGAGCTGTTAGGCATGACTAGAAGACAAGCGCTTACTGTACCTACACGCCAAAGGAGAATAGTCTAGGGCTGGACAGCAGAAAACATGAGTTCCACTTGCAGTTCTAGCTCGGAGACGGCTGGGTGAATGGTTTTGAGGGCAGCTTTTCAGGAGAACCACGCTGCTTGTGAGGCACATAAAAGCAGCAGTCAGCTTATAGCCTTGTGGCAAATCCGGGCCCAATTTGTGAAAGAAAAGGGGCAAGCAATCAGATTTGGCCACGGAGGTGTAAAATACTAGTTGCTAGAAGAATCTCTCTTCTGTAGGGCTTTATGGGCCTTGTTTACCCAAAATAATAAAATATATTAATAATGCCACTCTGTTTCCTGGAGGAACTGGTTCTGTCACACAGTGGTAAAAGTTCAGAAATGATTGGCTTGGTTTCAGATAGGAGCTGTTAGTTTATCGAGAGGACAGGACAGAAGCCAGCCCACCCCACCCACTCACCATCTGTTGCTACCAGCTACTTCTAGAGTTGCTCAGCGTAGCTGTGAAAGCACTGGACTGCAGCAACTTGTCTCTAATGCAGTTTTCAAAACAGCTATTGTACTGCATTAAGTAGCTTTCTGTAAAGCAGTTAGCTTCAGAACAACATGTTTACAGATTCAGTAAGACATGCTTAAAACAGTTCTGAGAAATATCAGTGCTGAAATTAGGAAAGTAAAAATTCAGCTTAAATCACAATAGACCCAAATCAACGCTTTCCTCTGATATAACTTGTTTGTATTTTATTTCTGTAGCTAATTATTTCAGATGCTTTAGTTAATTGAGCCAATTGACCTTCACCCTGAAATGGAGCAGTAGGTTTCAAGCTTTTGATTGAGTCCTAAAGAAGCATCAAACTTTCACGTGCACCTTGAATGCTGTAGGCCAAGATCTCCCCCTGGGGAAAATAGGCAAAAAGTCATGACTGCCTCAAACCTTGGTGGGCGATGGCTTAGCGACATGAATGTTTTCGGTATATTCACCAGTGCTTTCAGAGGCAAAGATTTCAGCACCACAAACACAGGACACAGCTAACACCAAATGTCTGTTTCTGCTGGTATCACAGATATTAAAATGCGTGTGTGTGTGTGTGTGTGTGTGCGCGCACATACACACAAAATAATATAGAAAACATTTGTTAAGAGAAGGTGGGACTTTGCAGCTCCAGGTCTGCAGAACAGGCAGGAAAACCCACCGCTGCTGTAATGGAAAATGATGTATTTAATAGGAAAATACTTTTTATTTCTGGTTTCTAGAAGGTAACACAGAAGACTGGTGACTCAGTCAACCACTCTTGGCAAGCTGCCCTCAATGTACAAGTCTGCATTAGTCCACTTCCGCGAGGCTCCTCTCGCATCTCCCATCCCACCACGCTGGCCTACCTGTGCTGGGGATTGGTGTATTTGAGCAGTTCGGCCAGTTGCAATGGATATTTGCAGATTTTCTGCACAGGAGTTAGCAGAAACCCATCCAGAGAGATGTCGATCATCTTCTGCAGCAGGCGGCAGGCTTCGAAGAAGTAGACGTACTTGTTAACTTTGGTGAGTCGGGACAGCTCCATGCAGGCGTTGGGGTGGTTGTTGCAGTATTCAGAGTATATCTGAAACTCTGTTTGCTGCAACGGGAATAAAGGGAAGCAATTTAGCGTCCTTGTTCTTTTGGGTGATGGCCTGGCTCTGAAACTACTGTATGCACTCCTGTATCACATCTGGCTGTTTGGCAATTTGCATCCTCCCCCTGACACTTGGAAGCCAGAACACGTAAAGCTGGGGGTAGGGTGGGGTGGGGTATACTAGAAGGGTAAAGCACGTGCAGCTTATCTGAGAGACTTAAGACGTTCCCATATACTCTGGCCCACATTCAGCTGAATGTTTCGAACGAACAAATCAGCAGTTGAATATACAGACCTGCAAAAAATGTAGGCGTAAACTCAGGCCCAGCTTAAGGGTCCTTCGTTTTGGAGGCCCAGCATTGTCTGCAGCCCCAAACAAGGAACTCATCCTTCTGAAGAGCCATTACACAGCGCACGTAACCGTGGGCCTGGCTGGGTTCACTGTGTGTGCAAGGTAGTCACTTCATGGGCACACGGAGCATTTGCCCAGTCTTTGCTCTGCAGGTCTGATGTGCTTGCGGCTGCCGCTTTCTGGGTGCCCCACTGCCTCTGCATGCAAGAAAGTGGCCAGCTGACATGAAAGGAGAAATAGTGTCTCATATACCTCTTATCCGATCAAATGCCTTATCCTGTCTAATACAGAAAGTTCTGCCTTTTACAGGACGCCCAATGGATGGTTCTTTGGACCAAATGGCTTGGAGTGGACGGGGTCACAGTTCCCTAGAGCAGTACTGTCCGGCAGGGAATACAGAAATCAGAGGCTGAGGCACTTTGGAAACGTTCTCTCGGCAACCACAAGAACTAGAGGGTGTTTGGTTGGCGTTCCGCGTGTGCGTGTGCGTGCGTGCGTGTGTGTTGTTGGGTGGGGGAGGGAGGACCGTTTTTTCTTTTTTCTGGTTTGATTGGTTGGGTTTTTTAACCCACAGCTTCAGTTTTGTCAGAACACCCTCCAAACCCTCTGGACTAATCAGCTACCTCTTTTCCATTAGGTAAGTCAAATTCACTTACATATTCCAAGAAGCATGAGCCAACCTCACTCAAATGCGGGTGGTCTTTATTGAATTTCTTCTCTAGTGCTTTAACAAATTTCTTTTGGCACCTGTAGATGTCTTCAATATTCCCAAAGATTGTCTTCAGCTGTTCTTCTGTAAACATATCAGCCCTTTTGCGGCACTGCTTAATGTAACCCTAGGAGGAAAGCAAATCGAAAAGCATGCTGCACACGGGCTGTTAGGCCTTTGCATATCAGCAGAAAACGCTACAGACTGCAGTCAGTTGTACACGAGGTTCCTGTACCCCCTTGCTGTGTAAATGCATGCTTGAGTTATTTTTTTCCTCAAATAGCACCCAAGAATGGTAAAAATAGAAATCAAGCCACAGTGACATCACCGCCTTAAATGATACTGTAACCCACACTGGAAGGAGTCCCTGAGCTGTTCTCTATCTTGCTAGAAACATCTTTATCTGCCTGCAGGCTACTGGGTGTTCTGACCCCAGCACTGATGCACTGATAGTTTTACACACATAAATCCAGCTGAGGATCTGGTTTGGATGCCGGTATCAGGAAATGCCTGGCCGACTCCCGTAAGGAGAAAGGCACGAAGAACATGGGGCAGTCCTGGACGCCGCAGGAGGAAAGGCGTGCTTGATAAGGGTGCAGCGCCTTGTCCCAGCTGGCTCCCCTGGGAGGCACAATGTTTTTGTGTCGTTTCAGCGAAGGACTGTGTCCCTGCAAAACTGTTCTATCAATTGCCATCGTTTACCCCGTTGTACGTGACAGCATGTCTCTTCTGGAAGAGGTGTCAGGATATTTGGAAGTGAAAGACCTAATTGCCTGAACATCCCCCAGTTGTTTTGATCTGAACATATGACTTGCCCGAAGGCTGGGATTGCCGATTATGCTACCTCAGATCATATATTGAAGAGGACAGCAATGTTAGACGTTTACTCTTCTCTGGCTTGGGAAATTCCATTAATTCCATTTAATCCGAGCCCAACTGGGTACTCCAAATAAAGGGCCATTTGGAATACTGCTGTAATGAATTGTCCTCTCTTTTCTGAGCATGCAACATCATTTAGCAGAGCCGATTCTGATGGAATTACCACCTTGTTTTCAGAGGAGGGGGGAAAAATACCATCCTAGGAACCTTATCTCTGTGGGCAAGAACAGGACATACTCTTGTTTCCTGTAAAGATATTCTTAGGCTGGCTTCCCCCTTTATTCTCTTACCTCACAGATGTCCTTCAGATGCTTGATGTAGTCTCTCTCTGTGCTTATGATCTCATTGATGACGTTGGTCCTCATTTGATCCTTGGTGGTCTGCCCCATCCCAAAACGTCGTGTGCCACTGCTGGAGTCGTCCTCTTTGCCACCCTCTACCTTTAGAGGATAGTCTTCCATGGGTTCATCCTGGTTTACTCGGAGCTGCGCCAAACACACAAGGACGTCCACAGTTGGTATTGCTAACTTCTCCCAAAGGACGGAAGTTTGGAAGAGATGACCGAACGGCAGACAAAGACTGAGCTGGAATAAGGACTGAAGAGGAACGCTACATACATATTACCTGTAGACATCTCTCCCATGGCGGAGAAAGCTAAGGTCAGATAGATAGTTTTGGGAGGCTACTGTCAAGCCACGTGATGACTGCTCCCAAGATGTGACATGCATGGTTTTGAGCAGGTATCTCCTGTGGACAGAAGTCACAGGAATGATATGAAGTCCTCCAGGAGACAGAAAATGGTTTATCAAGTGAAATTTGCTTGGGTATTTGTGCAGGGGCTCCTAGGGCAGGAGAGGGGAACCAGTAAATAGCTGCTTTTTTTATTGCTTTATGGTTATTATCATATTAAAAATAACAGATGGCCTCTCAGTAGCTGCTCTCCCAAGATTATTTAAAGAGAATTTATTTTTTATATTAAAGTAAATACAGCTGCCAGTAGGCATATAACGTGGTTAAAAATGTCATTACATCGCAGGGCTGTGCGTGTAACTCATGGTTCCTCTAGAGCGCCCATGAGATGGCAGCACAGCACGAGCAGAGACAAAAACATCAGCGTTTGGTAGACAAGCTACACTACAGGGTCTACACTGTCAGTGGTACTGAACCACCTTAGTTAATGCCACACAATTATCAGAGCATTTCACTTACAAGCTTTCTTTTATTTGGTAGTATTGTAACAGCACGTTAAAGAGCTCTCAGAGTGCCTAGGGGAATGTTTTCTACGCAACTAAAATAATCCGTCTCAGCATAGAGAATAAATGAAAAAAATAGTGGGGGAAAAAAAAAACTATGTCAGTCCTACTGTATCACTTTGCAAGCGTGCATAAATATAAGCAGCTTTATTACAATGACACAGAGCTGCTTTTAAACTTTCAGTTTCCTCTAGGCAGGATTACTTGCCTCTTTTATACGTATATATTATACGTATATTTATATTATATAGATAGCTAGATTGATAGATATAGATATACACCCCTTGTCCACGTACGCGTAGATTACATTTACTCACTGTTTACAGTTGGCGAAACCCTGAAGATGAGGAATCCTTGTGTTCCTTCACTGTCAGCAGAACAACATTGGCCGGTCTCAAGCTCAGACCTTTGCCTGAAACTGATTCTGCGTAATGAACCGACCTGCAGATTTATCCTCACCCCCAAACATACAGGCCTTCCCAGCAGTAAGCTTAAGATCCAGTGATAATTGGCAGGAGATCTTCACATGGATACTTAAATAAGTGTTGTAATTACTCTGCTAAAAGAACCTGTTATTCTGCATCCCTAATGGCTAGCACTAACTAGTCTTATTTCCCCTGAAACATTATCTCATCACAGGCTTTTGCCAACCGGGACAACAATTCAACCTATCAGTAAATGAAAGAAAAAAAGGCCTGTGTTTTGACTCTGAAAAAAAACAGTTCTGCCCCTGACAGTGCTGAGAGCTTAGTCCTAGTGATCTTACGTGCAAAAACATCCACTGTTGGGAACAATTACCCAGCTGAGACCGTCTCCTGCAAGCTATAGCAAAACATTTCAAAACTTATAGCAGTCTGCCCCACTTCTCCAAGGACTTTCGCTACAGCCACCGTATCGCCACCTTTCATGCTTCACCTGGTTTTGGGTTACTTGTGATCTAAGGTGACCTGGATAAGAAGCTAACGGGCTGACAGGCTCTTTGCCCTTGGACACCTAATCGCCTCTGCAGTACTGAAGAGACCGTCCTGGTGGTGAAATGGTGAAAGCAGTCAGCCATCCGCACTAACAATTACAGCCCAAAGAAAGGAAAAAAGCCTTTCTCCTCACAGAGAGAAAGGTAATGCACAGCAGTTAACCCAGACTTCTTTTGCCCCAAACTTGCACAGAGAATTCAGATGTGTTTTAGACTGCTCTGTCAAAAATGAATCTGACCTCTGCAGTGTACAACTTTGGCCTGTCTCGTCATCACAAGCTGTTTTTGCGTGGGATTTGTAGCCAACGCCAGGAGAGAGCCTTGGCCCAAAAACTGATCAAAATCAAGTGTTTCTTGTCCCCACTGGAGCAGGTGTCTCACATGACCTCCAAGGTACCGTTGCTTTCTTGTCGTTTTCCCCTCTGTTTTCAGCTGCCTGAAATAAAGTGCTCTGCTGTAGCCCACCAGCCTGATGCTTCTAAACCTCCAGGACTAGGGGTGGGCACGTGCTGGAGGCAGGTGGTTGCACACTTTGGGACGCGGCATAGCATTGGCACTAGTACCAGATGGATAAAGCTGAATTTGGTGCCCTGCTCATCCATACTGTACAGTAGCCACGTGTTTAGGAATGCTAACAAGCGTGTGTTGAACCAGCTACCTCTAGGCGTGAAAGTACTCAGCGATCATTACACAATTCAAAGCCTGGGGAGGGGACACACCTGGAGCTAATAGAGAGGTGTGAAGAAACGTCAAGGTCTTACCCGTACGAAGCTGGCTGGAAACCAGCCTTCGCTGTCCAGAATCCTCCCCCACCACCACTCCTTGTTGGTAGCATCCATTACTTCAATGACATCGCCGGCCTTGAATCCCAGCTCCTGGTCATCCATCGTGACGTGGTCCCAGAGCGCTTCTGCATACACCACGCTGCCATCACTGATGAGCTGTGGACAGAGCAAGTCAAACTGTCAGCAGCCCACCCCAAGAGCCATGCCGTCAGCTACTGCCTGTCTGCAGCATAGGCATCATCTCAGCTGAGCCAAACAAACTGCCCACTGCTTACTCCTTGCAAGCAAAGTGAAAAGGAGCTGGTGCTAGTCTAGCGATTGCTTCGACTGAACTCGCTCTCAGTAGCGTTTCTTCAGCATCACTGGGGCACAATGCATTTATCCAATAAAAAGGTAACTTTGAGGCCGCAGAAACTCTTACTGGTGACTTTGCCTCAGCCAGCAAATTAGGCTCGGTGCTGCATTGTTGGTGGAGGCTGCTCTTGTGCAGCCTTGCTTTGGAAAGCCTTGAAAGCCAAGCATGAACTTCAATGTTTCCAGAGATGTACTTCAGAGCAGAAAGTATTCTGAGGCTTCAGACTTGGTCTAGGACGGATGGAGCTTCAAGTCTTTAAGGTGGTTAAACTTAGCACTTAAGCTCCTTAAAATAAATCTCCTGGAGCGTTTCAGTAATTCTCCTAAGGGCCAATGGTTATTTACAATACATATCAAAGAGGGCCTATCCTAGGGAAAAAAAAAAAAAAAAAAAAAAAGGAGCCCCGGCACTTGAAAGAAAAAAAAAACACCTGCCTAGAAACTGTGTGTGGGCCCTTCAACACAGTGATGATTGCATCCATGCAATCATCCATGTGTGCAGGATGCCGTTCTCAACCGTTCGCGCCTTAGCTACATTCTAGTTAAGTAACACTCAAGAACTGTTGTTGCAGTGGATCATTTTATTTGTAACCTGGCCCTGCTGGTCGCTACCACAGGACTGCCTGATGCCCACAGGTTTATCATGTCATAGAGTCTCCTCTGACCTTCAGTCACCACACAGACTCTGCCTGAGCACGACTGCAGCTAGCTGTCAGAACACCTGAATTTCGGGCCTTTCTTCCCTGAGAAGGCAGAGGGTATATGGTAGTCCTGTTAAAAAGGACATTCGGGGTAGCCCTAGCCAATCTGTTAGAAGCTAACGAGTAGCTGTGAATTCCTGTTTTCTCTAGCAAAATGGTGCAACGATAGATTCTAGGAAGATGACGGTAAGTGTAGTCTGTGAGGCACTAGGGAGGAAGAGAAAACCTGTACAAAACACACCATCCTTGGTAATAACCTACATCATTGTGGCAGTATCACCCCAGCCATATAACGCACTTATCATGCATTCTGGGCGCCTTAGGTTGCTCGTTGTCGTGGTCGTCTACTGAATCATACAATCACTGGCGTTGGAAGGCTGCTCTGGAGATCATCTGGTCCAAGCCCCCTGCTCGAGCAGGGTTGCCTACAGCAGGTTACCCAGGACAGTGCCCAGTTGGGTTCTGAACGTCTCCAAGGATGGAGACTCCACAACCTCTCTGGGCAACCTGTTCCACTGTTTAATCACCCTCACAGGGAAGACGTGTTTTCTTATGTTCCAGTAGCATTTCCTATGTTTCAGTTTGTGCCCAGTACCTCTCATCCTCTCACCAGGCACCAGATTGAGAAGAGTCTGGCTTCCTCTTCTCCAGGCTAAACTGTTCCAGCTCTCACAGCCTCTCCTTGTATGAGAGCTGCTTCAGTCCCTTAGTTTTCTTTGTGGCCCTTCATGGGACTTACTCCTGTGCGTAAGTGTCTTTCTTGTAGCAGGGAGCCCAGAATTGGACACAGCACTGCTCTGGGTTAGTTTGCTTCTCCCATACCCTCACCAAAACAAAATACATGTTGTAAAAGAAAGTCGGAATAACCATTCATACAGTAAATCATAAAGTTAACTAGAGGTGTTTAAAAAAAAAAAATCTAATACAGTCTGTCTTTGGATAGCAAATACCTTTTAACTGAAAGAGATAACAGCTTCATGCAGTGCATCCGTTTTGACAAAAAAAAAGCCTTCAGGAGGACTGGAAAGAAGAGGAGACGAGAGGTTCCCACATATCTACAGGGCTAGCATGCTGATACCTTTTAACTGAAAGAGATAACAGCTTCATGCAGTGCATCCGTTTTGACAAAAAAAAAGCCTTCAGGAGGACTGGAAAGAAGAGGAGACGAGAGGTTCCCACATATCTACAGGGCTAGCATGCTGGTGCTCCCTGCTGTGCCTTCTTTCCGTGGCCCTCCGCAGCACCACCACAGCACTCGGGTGCTTTCTTGCTGCAAGTTTCTGCTCTTCACAAAGACAAACAATTGCTAAGGTGAGGACCAACAGAGAACTTGCAGGACATGCCATCTGCCATACAGCCAGCAGAACAACGGAAAAATAATGTAGGAGTCTTAAATGGTGTGTCACTAGTCTAAACTACTCTAGCAAGGACAGGCTTTGATCACATGGCAAGTGGAGCAGTAGTTTTCTTAGTCTCAGAAAACCAGACTTCAGTTTCAGGTGACTACAGCTGAGCTGGACGGTTGGTGGAGGATGTCAGCTGCTCTCAGAAGAAAGCTCTGCTTCTTCATTAAGCAACACGCCTGTGCACGACGCACCCCTTTGATTCAGCCGTTCAGTGTCAGTGAGTACTGACCGTGTAAGACCACAAGCTGAGCCCAATTCCTCCCTTTGCGGGAAGAGGCAAGAAGTAGCATCCAGATGATGGGGGCTACGGACATGTTTGGAGCTACCATATCCAGCCACCTCTGTGGAGCAGAGCCGGTTAGTGCTGGTCTCACGTGGACTGGGGGAGAGTCGCCCTGCTCTGCAGGAACCTGACAATCAGGTCATCCTGGAGCGGCTGCCGAACCATGCTGAACTGGGTTAAGTATGCCTGTGGAGATGGGCTGATTACTGATCAGCCTGTGTGAGATGGGCTGTGGAGATGGGCTTTGTTCACTGATTAATGTATTTTTGGAGAGAGAGGCATTCAGAGGGCTTTTCAACATACAAATTATGACCAGTGCATAAAGAACATGGCACTTTTTGAAATGAAATACCTTTACTGAGTACTTAAGTATGCCAGGCTGAATCAGTGCTCTGAGCGTGAGGCGGCAGCTGGTGTACATGCCAGGACGGTGACCAGCCAGGGCTAAACGTGCTCCTCTGGAGCAGTCTGATGATCACACAGGCAGAGCACAGACGACACGAAGTCATTAACACCTTACGGTACCAAGCTGTCAGATCTCAACATCTTGACAAGAAGTCAAGAGGCCCACGGCCGACTTAGCATTAACAGCTTTTGGGAGTTGATACATCCAGCTCACAGGGGACAAAGCCACATGGTTCTCACCAGAGTTAATGAAAACTGCGTGACTAAGTAGTGAAACCTCAGCTGTTATTTTAATACACTAATGTTAGCATCTTAAATTCTATATATTCAAGAACAGCCGTACTGTCAATATGAGTTGCCAGATACATAAAGTCACGTCTGACCTACCAGCAGACTGGCCAAACACCCGCGGGCAAGCAGACGAGCCACTGCCACAGATGGTTCTCACTCAAAGCACTGACTAAAAAGACACCTGAAATACAGGCCAGGATTTGTTTAGCCAACGCTGAACACCGTGTTTGTAGGCAGGAAGGCTCAACAAGAGGGATTAAAGCAAGAAATAAAGAGAAAAAATACTTTATTTTTGCTTTGAACTGTCTCACTGACTTGAGCAGAGCAGTATTTGATGCACCTCCTCAGCCGCAGGCTGACAGGCTCTGCTCCGCTCCATCTCCCTGCGCTGCCTGAATCTGAGGTCCTGTGGTGAGGGTGAGGGGGGGGAGACACAGAGAGACTGAAAGGTATTCAATAACCAGAACATTCACTGCCTAATTTCCTGTTTAGCCCCTCAACCTACACCTTACATTATTTTTTTCAAATGTGTCCAGTTCAGTTCCTGGGCTCATACAGAAACACCAAACATACTCAGTTTAGCAGTCCCTCTCCCAGAGTAAATACTGAAGGGTAGCCATGAGCCACGGCTCGCGTTTGACAGCGCTGACGCTTCCACGGCACCAAACCGGCTACGTTACGGCGTGGCACTGCAGAGCGCTTCCAGCTTGCCATGGCTTCCTCCCTGAGGAGCTCACTGCTACTGGGGAAAAAGGGGCTAGGACTTTCCTTCCCTGTCCCAGGAGGGAAAAAGCACGCCCGGAGAAAAAAGGTTTTCTGCAAAACGCGTTAGAGTACTGCACAATCAGCCCGCTGTATCGTGAGAGCTGCCCATCTTCCAAAGAAGCACACGTTAAAGGCAATACTCATCATTTCCAACTGTGGCAGCTCCTAGGCTCAAAATGGCTCATCCACAACTTTGGATCTTCGCAATTAAAACAAGCTTTGAAAAACCACCGTTAATTTCCACAGGAAATAACATTTATGTTCTGATTTTGTAATATGAAGGACAAGTCAATACATGTTCTTGAAGAGCCCGTGTCTCCTGCCCTAAGCCAGTCTCTGGAAGGGAAACGTCAGAAAAGAGAAGATGCAAACCCCTACAGCTGCTACTGCTGCTTCCGCACTGCAACAAAAACAGAAGTTAAATACTTCTCTTTGTTTACAGAAAGGTTTAAGTCTGTAGGCGTTACTGTCTGCAAGCCAGATACAGTATTAACATTGACTCTGTGAAACTGAATATTGACTACAGCAGTTGCTGTAATACCGTATTAGCATTTTTCTATACCTGTAGCTGCTTTCCTTACTGCCTGTGCAGCTACAACCATCCTGCTCATGTGCGGACGTGGCAGATGCGAAGGGAAGGAGCCAGGGAAGAAGTGCTTGCGAAGCACTTCTCAGAGCATCACAGAGGGGCCAGAGAGGGGATGGATGGGGGAGCCACGGCTTTGCTGCTCCAAGCGCTGCCCGTGCACAGGCTGAGCACATACTCCCAAAGGGGAGAAACAGCCAGGGCCTGCCGCAAATGGCTGCCCCAAATTAAGTCCATTATGCGCAGGCAGACAGACCTAGCTTGCTGAGCTCCTGGGCTGCACATCTGTTTGCATGCTAACTACCCCATCCCGGTTTGTCTGAGGCTGGACACCTTGATGTAATTACCTCCTATGTCCTGCTCTT